ATCTAATTCTCCTTAAGGGTAGCAACTACCTCGAATTGACATAGGAGACGGGTTGAGTGGACACATTAGTAGGTTATGACTAACGTCTTGCCTGCTCCTTCCTACTATAAATTAAAGGAGAAACCTCGATACCACGTGACTCTTCGGATAGGGGTTAGACATCTTCATGGAGCGTCAACACGGTTACAATTGGAAGCAGAAAAATATTGATAAGAAGAATATTTACCTATGCAGTACCTAGGTAGGTATGCACAAAATCCGTTCTTTCCCTTGTTATACCCCCGTTCCTCATAACCTTAACCATCGTAATCTACTTCGATCTTGCTCACATGTTTTCCAAAGCACACGGTATCATCATTCCAATTCCAATTCAGTCGGATTTGTGCAATTATCAAGATTGATCAACATCTTGTAATGCATCTAATAGTCCCCTGTGTATAAGAAGGGAGCCTCGTTCTAACTTCGGCTCGGCACTTATCTTAAGCAGTACCTTCTCATATTCTCAGAGGCCACGACACTCCGTATTCCTCCTTCTCTTAGGTAGTCCATAATTCATATACGCTCATTCATCCCTGTCCTTTCCCTGAGACGATGGCACACGATTGTGGAATCGCAGTGGTGAAGCAGGGCGCGAGGTTGAGAGACCCATCCCCTTCATATTCTCAAGCGGATTGGGAACGCTAAGCTTGTCATCCGTGTACCTTGGCGTATTCATCGGGTCGATAGTCGTCTTCTCAAAGTTGACAATGTTGATCGGTGGCGGCCGGCCGCGCTTCCGATCAGGACCTGTGTAGAGGAATGTCGAGACGAGTACCAAAGCGGTACCGATGAGGAACTAAGGATAGCAATTAGCGAACCGCCTCGCATGAAATAGAGATTACTGGATAATACAAAACATACCGTTAGTGTAACATGGACTTTGAAGAACCATACACTGAATAGGAAGCCTATAACAATGCTAATGCTCGTAGCAAAGTTCTTGGCAATATTATCCGCGTAATTGATGCAAAGCGAGGTGAGCACACCACCGAACGCTTGCAGGATGATCAATGCCCACACAATCCAGTTGTACCCATCGAATAGCCCATGCTTCGCGATTTCTTCGCCGTCTTTAAATACGATGCCCAGCAGCGCTGGAAATAGCGAATAGAACGACAGCTGTATATTGCGAGTCCAGACAGAAGCGGGATTTTCTGTATCCTTAAGAACCTTCTCAAAGTAAACCCCCGTCAAGCCAGAAATCACCGCTACAGCAAATACAGCCGACAGTCCGATCGAGTAGTTCATTACAGGCGCTGTGTTTTGATCTTCCTCGATTCCTTCGTATGTCGCAGAACGTTTCGCAAGAGTCTGGCCGACCTCGGCTATGGTTTCCATGCCACGCTTCGTGAGCTCCCTCGCCACGTCGCCCATTCCGTTCGCTACTTGGCCTAGCTCATGCACCGAACGAGGGAAGAAGTGATCCGCCATGTCGTGGATCATGAATGAGCTATCTTTCGAGTTTGAGGATGGGATACACACGATCGAAACGCCTATGGTCAGAATAATGAGAGAAACCCAACGCTTCACGGTTACGGATCGGCCGAGCATCGTCACAGTAAATATCGCAGTCGTAAGAATCCGGAGTTGGTATAGAATTTGGAAATGGACTGGATCAAGGTTCCCCACCGCAACATACTGTAACATGTTCTGCAGGGTGTATAGCGTCGCTGCGATAGCTACCTTCCAGCCGTCACCAGAAAAAACAGAGTTGAATATCTGCTCGAATATAACGGTCGCAGGCGTCGAGGGCGCAAGGTTCCTCGAAACTTCGTATATAGCGAAGGTTAAAGAAATCGCCAACTTGATCACTTCAGTCAAGAACACAGCCGTCGACGTGAAATATCGGTGGTCGCCGCTCGGGGGCATCATTCGGGAGTAGTGCATAAGGATGATCAACACCGAGTTTTGGAAAGTTAACTAAGAGTGTTAACATGTTAGCCATGCTGCGCTGTCGCCAGACGATCCCTCTTCTAGCCATTCCAGCACATACCGTAATAAGAGAAAGCTGCTTCATGGGCACGCCGAAGAGGAGAGGCCCTCCCGCGGGTTGCGGGGCACCATCGAGGAGAGCCATGATGGTTAATAAGTTATGACCACAGTTTGGCCAAGTTGGCGAAAGCCTCGTTCGTTGATATTTTTGTTTCTCTTCCCTTATTTTCTAAGCCCCTCCTAACTGGTCGAAGCTTTTGTTTAAACAATGGCTGAATTAGCTGATTGATGTCTCAAAAAGCTTTTTGCGAAAATCTTTTCCTGTTATAAAATTGCCGCAATAATAGTGGAAATTCGTAATCGCGTGCCGGTTTTCGTCAATAAAATAAATAAAATAAAACTTGAATTGAAGACAATATTCAATGCGTCGCGTTTCATTAAATAAATTGGACTAAAAAAAGATGCGCAGTCATTGAAGGTATTGCCAATTCGGGCGGACGCGCTTCAACCACCCAAATCCAGGTCACTCCCAAAATGGGACCAGACCTATCAAGCTCTTCTCAACCCCTGAATGTGACGCCACTTAGTGTAGCAAGCAACGAGTCTGTGACACTCGGTGTCAACGGGGTTCAAATTAACTTGGATAAACTTGACATATAGCAGTCAACTTTAGAACCCGTATTTAGATTAGGTTGGAAAAGTGAATGTGAAAAGGCAGAAGGGGAACAAAAGGGTTTGCAGAAGTTCTTATTCAGCAAAAGGCCGCAGAACTACATACAATACCTGTATGTGCTGTCATGGCTACGGGTACCTGTGCTACTTATTTAGGGCCGGACCATACATAAGTTGGCATAGGTTGATGATATCAAAGGCGCTCGAGTCTTCCCCCAATACGTAAGGATCATCAAGGCTCGAGCTATGTATGCATGTTGTGCCTGGACACTACAGGATGGGCATACAGGCATACCACCGCGATTCTGCAAATAATAGGTACTAAAATAGGTTGCAATAATTGTGGGATACCGCCAGATCCTGTCCTAGCCTTGATGCATCCTATTACGTACCTAGATACCGAACCAGCCATATGTAGACGGTTCAAGCCGTAGCAAACGATAATACTAATAATATCTTGATTCGAAGGTTCTCCCACGCCACGGAGGAATAGTTAACAACCATTTAAGTTCCCCGAACTCCGCCGTACACTAGTCTTCATATCCGGGGCTATTCAATTAAAGTCAGTATTGTTCCGATGACACGTATATTACTCATGTATGGTCCAGTCCGTTTAGCTTGTTATGTATTTGTTTATTGCGCCTTGACCTCTTTCGGCTTTCGTGATCGTGATCGTTACGGAGCGATCTGATTTTCGTGGGGGGGATGTCCAAAAGAGCTCTAGGCCCTTGATCTCTTCCGGTCACTTCGAACGACGCATGTTTCGAATCGATTTACACACCGCTAGCATTAAAGCCGTTTGACCTTTTTTTTCATCCCTTCCCCTTTCGTTAAGGTAATGGTGTTAGTGCGGTTGCTTTAGATGTTGCGTGGTTAGGTATTACCTAAATTCACCATTTACTTACTATGTATTTCTATTTTATTAGTATCAAGTCATGGGACCATGATATCAACGCATGATTCTTCGATCACTATGCCAGTCTAGAGTACCTGGTGGATAGTTTTTGCTTCCGCTCTATGTAAAAGGCTTCGACTATAAATGCCGTCATGACTTGCAAGCCCCCGTAAACAAGAAGACCGCACCAAAAGGAGGGATGCGGGGTGAACAGGAAGGAAACTGGCTTATTTCTTGTTCTACCTGCATCACTAAAATCCAGAGATGCGAGAGGATTAATAGCCTACCTATTTTACTTTCAACAGTATCCCAACTGCAAGCCATACTATTATTCCCACTCCCTTGCAGAGAAAAAACCGAATAGCTTCGATTTGCGGATAGTTTATTAGGTCAGATCGTGGATCGCGGGGCTTGGATCTTTTACGGATCCACAGCTAAAAGGTAGATGCCAATCGATATCCTCAACGTGGTTGATGCACTGTTAGATCATCGCGATGTTGTATAATGATTTACCTGTTATTCCAGGCCGCTGGAATTTCCCGGGGAATGAAGTACCTGATAGAGAGCTCAGGTGAGAGAAAGACAACATGCATAATAGAAACGAGAAAGTGCAAAGAAAAAAGAAAAAACCAAATCAAAAGACAAAAAGAGTAACCAAATAAAAATTTACCAAAAATGAAGTTGCCAGCTGCAGGGTTCGAACCTGCGCATCTCTCGATAATGGTGTTCAAGATCTTGAAATCAGACTTAAAACCACCGCCTTAGACCACTGTAAGATATGTATTAGCGTGTGAACAGGTTATACGATGAAAATTCTCGTAAAAACTTACCTCGGCCAAACTGGCTATTTCCTTGAAGTTTTCAAACCGTTTAATGCCGCTTATTACCCCCTCCTTAGCAATTACTCCAACAACCAATGAATTTCCAACGATGATCAATTTTACATCCACACATGTATATGTACCGGTACATACACCTACATATAACAAGTCCACGGTTGCATTTTCTATATAGGTATTATTCGTTTAATTTTCTCTCTATTGCTCCGTCTTGTGTGTTCTCAAGAGCAAGAAATGGCTAACAAGAGAAATATGATACCCTTTCGTGAACATCGCGATGAATTCTGAATCGTAAGGGCTCCCTCAAATGCTTGCATGCACCATAGCACACACACCACCACCACACCCATACATTAGGTACATAAAATCCAACAAACACACATCGCCTAGTTGCACATAAAATCGTATGCAGTCCTTCCGTGACCCCTCTCGATCCCTGATATTACATATAGCCCTCCCCGTGGCCTCTTTTCCATTCTAATATGATTATCCCCGGTAGCCATTGAAGCTCAGACCGCGCCGCAAAGCCCGTCTTTTAACTTTAACAGCCAAGTAATTAGAAACGACAAAATAGATTTCGAAAAATTAGATTTTTGACCCGTCGCGCCCTCCGATGATATCGCATTGTTCCGAATCTTGCTGAGATGAAGGAGACATGATAATAATATTAGTAGGTTAGGTTAGGTATGTGTGGTGTATTAGTCGTAAGCAGTGATGCCGAGCTCCCAGTATATTCGATATGAACCCCGTGTGATTTCCCACCCGACCTCACTCGCCTGACAGTCGTGAAAAATAAAAATAAAACAAGCGCTAAACAAACAGCCATTTACGTGCATGCATATTTCGAGAACATAGGAAAATTGTGATGCGAGCTATTATGCCAACTCGACAACTCGGGAAGAGATGGGAGTAGTGATCGTTGCTAATGTTGTCCTTGGCAATCAGTGAATTATAACTCTTCAGTCGTCGTCTCCCCACCAAGGCACTGGTGAATTAATCTGGCCCACGGCGCTCAATCTTACAGCACTCTTCTTCCCCTTCTTATGACCAAGAGTAGACGGTGCTAAGAATCCGTCTGCCGGGGAAACGGGGCTATCCGGTCTGGGGATGCCCTTCTCCGGCACCGGCTTGAGGGTAGAAAGCTTGGGTCGGCCACCCGCCATTGGGAAGTCGTCAAAGTCTATATCATCGGCATCGATATCCTCATTGATTGGGGGGCTGCCCTTCGGTAGGTTCTTAATCGGGACCCCCCTTGGGCTCATCGGGCTCGAGTCGGGTCGTGGCCGGCCGTTGTAGGATGATCCGTACGGGCTACTGCTGATTTTCGATCGAGTCCTGCTTCGACGCTCACCGGGTGGAAACTCCAAGTCGTCCTCCATGAACTCGCTCAAATCGGGGCTCGGTTCTGCCTCGTCGATCACATCGATACTATCAATCGGTCGATCTAGGTAGAGAAGCACCCGCTCGTGACGGGATTTTCCGGTTGGTCGAGAATCGGGCCCGGGAGAGGCTCTCATTCGGGAAGGGGCTCTATCTACCGAGTCTCTATAGCTAGCCGATGGCGACGCCTCCATGCGGCGCGGTCCGTTAGAATGATTACGTATTCGACCGTGTCCGCTGCTAGAACTCCGACCAGCTCGCCCAACGAGTGACGACGATCTCATTGGGAGATTATTAGATTGTTTTGCCCTGGCACGAGCCTCCTTGACTTCTTTAGTTGCCTGCCTCTCAGCATCTTTCAAATGCGCCGATGCTAATTGCTCAAGATCAACATTCTCAAGGCCAGCACCTCCAGGGCTATTCCTACCCTCCTCAAGCTCGGCGATTATATTCTCCCGCATCCTAGCCCTCTTCTTTCGCAGTGCAGCAAGAAGCATCTCTTCTTGTTTCGTTACTGCCATCATCCGCCCGTTCTGCGATTCGCTTGCTTTGCTTACTGTGGATTCTCGTCGTGAAGACTCTGGCGATTTCATATAGAACTCCACGCTGGTTGGCGACAGCGGTGGTGTCGGCTGGTCTGAAGTATGAGAATTCTGCGAACTACGCTGTCTTCCTTGCTGTGCGAGCGCGTGATTTAAGCTGATTGGTATTTGATCCACCGAAACTGATGATGCGGCTTCTGCTGTAGAAGCATACGGGATGAAGGCAATCGCTCTCGCTTCCTGTACGCTATAATGGGTATTGGTACTGTACGTAGGAGACAAAATAGAGCCCACGGTGTTTACTGTCGAAACTGACCCGCGAGCACCTTGGGATTGAGGATCTTGCTGATGGATAGGCAAAGAGATCCGAGTTGCCGTGCTTAAGGATGAATTAGTAGAGTGGAGGGTATTAGCTGACGGTGATCGGACGTTCTTAGTTTTCGGGGAGGCATGAGGAATGGTGAGATAGTCGTTAAGTTGCGCGTACGATGCTCCTTTAGGGTTAGTCGAGTGGCTGCTAATAGAAAGTCGCGATGTGCTCCGTTGTCGCTGACTCGAAGCGACGCTGGAATCATCACGAAAGCTATTGTCATAAGATCGCAGTGACGAACCTGGCCCAGAATACGCGGTCTCTCCTTCGTCAGATTCCGAATCCGTCAGCGATAAGACGCTCTGTTGCTGCCTATCAGAATCCATGGTGCTCATGATCGACGGCGTAGCTTTCGAGGTCCGTGTATGGCGGCTCGACACACTCGCAGCATATTCATCCCTCGATGATGGACGTATCTGCAAAGTACTCGGCGTCTCGGCTCTCATAGCTGTGACCTTGCTTGCTTGTGAAGTGTTCCGGCTGTGATTCCATCTGGAGCTCGGGTCCCTAAGCGATGAATTCGGTAGCGGCGTGATCATATCTTCACGAGACACGTCTGAGACCGTTGGTTCGTAAGTCCGGGGCAGGAGGTGTTCCTGGTTCAACTGGCCCTTATTACCTATCACCTCTTCTTCCTCGTCCTCCTCTTCCAATGCTCCGGCATGCCGAAACGACATTTGCTCATAATGATCGTAGAGCTGATGCAATGTGCTAGCATTACTTATTACTTTCGAGCGGCCTGTTCGTGTCGATGCTTCCGGAGGTTGAGACTGTATTATCAGGTCCGGCCTCGGGGTCTGTTCATTTTCCCCAGGGCTCGTAGGCAATCGCGTCAGTGAGACTACAGAATGTGACGTGTGTGACAAGACAGATGGGGATTTTATCACATAGTTATTTCCTAAGACGGGCCCTACCCCATTGGAATCCTTGTGATGTTCCTTGCGAGTCCTTAATCTTAGCTTTGAGAAATCTAATCTGGACGGCTTCTTCCTTGGCTGCCTCTTCCCGTAGAGTGCGCCGTCAATATCCAACAGTGCATTAGCTTTCGTCGGGAGTCCCTTGGCCATCGCCGAATTCGATGTCTGCTGCGATATCGAGAGCGGCATCTTATCCGATTCGTAATGCGACTGAATGGTAGAACTAGTTTGAGGCCGATGAGCGTTGGTGTCGTCCGTCAAAGCATCCCGACTACGAGCACCAAGGGTGACGGCTGACCTCTTGGGCTTTAACTCCTTACTAAAAAGGCCATTATTACTACGCAACCTCCGCGGGAGCGCCTCCGATTCATTCTCCCACAGAGCTGTACCATAAGTCGTTCCATCGTATCCATCCTCTTCTTCGTCCAGAGCACCAGATTGACTAGCGCTACTCTCGGATATCGATATACTGATACCGCCGGCCGATTCCGTTTCCCACGATCGGCCAGGGTCCTTCGTTCCAGTAGGAGAACCGAGATTCTGTCCGCCAGTTCCCAAAATCCTTTCTGCTTTCGACAGCGGGTTCGAGACCGCCGCGGCGGGTGGCTGCTTTGCTGAGCGCCCCGGCATGGGGAACGTAAATTTAGATTTATGACCCATTTTTCGAGAAATAATCTACCACGCAGACGATGTGTCGATAACAGGGTTGAATAAGTCAAGCTTTGAAATAAGCCTCGTTGTTCGTGCCTAGAGCGACAGGATCAAAGAATCAGGTACTAAACCCCAAGTCTCTCTATCCCCCGCCTCTTGTCTTTCCCACGACAATGTCTCTAAGGAAATAGACATGTGCTACAAACTTCAGATGCCAATACAATCGGATTGTTACCGCAAACTGAAACGAAGGGGACCAATTCTGTGCCTATTATCGAACAGTCGCGGTGTCGGCGGTCGATCAGGGCGTTAGATTCAAGTATGCTTCAGTCGGCATATCAAAACAACTTTCTCTCATATCCTACAAGTAAAAGTTCCGGCTATGCTTAGCATCGCATGTCCCAGTGTCGCGTGTATGTCGAGAAGGAATCGTGATACGAAGTCGACAAGCTAATTACCGGACTGGCGAAGATACAAGACCACGATTTAACTTGTATGTTCATCAAACAGCTTCGAATAATTAAGTGTCCCGCATGAACCCCCAAAAAAGTTGGTATGAAGGATCGTGATGATCGCCTTTCTCCCGTCGGCTTCTGCTCCCAAAACTTAAGAGACCCTCGTCTAATCCCTACTTCAGCTTCGTAGACACAACCCCATACGTGCGTGAAGAAAATGGAGTGACATAAGTAAGGGGAGAAACAGGAACAAAAAGGGACTGGAACGATGGTCCTGTCACGACACGGACACTTTTTTTCCTTGGATATTAAAATTGGAGAATCCAAGAGACGTATTTCTCCATACAGTAGGCAATTCGCAATTTATTGGAATTTATTGGCACATTTGCACATCTACATATGCGAACGGAGGGTATGTATGCAGGTACACTTGCATATGTATGCATCCTCATGCCACCCCGAACTCATTAATGCCGTATTACCAGGAACATATGTATGTGATCCCTTTATTAGCTAGAGTCGATGTGGTTAGATGGGTCAAGGAGAAGCTTGTCTCCCTTACCCACTCACGCGTGTGCATATACGCTACAGATACCACAGATACGTCTCTTCAAGCCACCGACACGACGGCACGAAAGAAGATTGGGTTGAACTGACACCAAACCAAAAGTTCCTAGCCCCAAGTGACATACAGATAGATTGTAAAAAGTCAAATGAGCCGTCATACCGGTCGCCTTACCGGAGAAGCTGGGCTACTTCGCATAGCTCAGCCTTTGAAGCTATGACCGGTTTATGAAAGAGGGGGGCAAGGGGGTTCGTAGACCCCTGCTTTCAGGCCCCTGTTACAAAATAGCAGGTTTCTTTTCTGCAGGGCTTCGTATTGCGTCTAGACCGCAATTACACTATGTAAAGTACGGTTGTGTTAAGCTGCATAGAATGCAACGTCGAGCTGCCTACATAATCAAACGTCTCACGACGATCAAAACAATAAAAAGGCGCAGGGCAAGGAAGCATCAGGGAAAAGTTTCAAAATTGTTATGGTGTAAACCGGTGTAAATGACAATAACTGGAGCAGAATTTCAGCTCCCCGAGTTAGTCGTCTAATAAAAGATCAGATGGTCGATTTATTATGTAGAAGACGGCTGTCTACCGCTAAATTAGACAAACAGCAAGGTTCATGGATGATGATAATGATGATGATGATAATAACATTTACGTCTATTGGCCTGCTATGCTACCTACGTAGAGCAAGGTTCATGGAAGTCGGTGTCAATGATCGAGAAAATATCATTACAAACATAAGCAACGGGTTTAACAGCGTAGCTTGAACAATCCAGTCTGGAAACAATCCGCGAGGTTTTTATTAGTATACATTTTTTTGGTTAAAATCCTTTTTTTTGTTTTGCAAGTGTAGCATTCAAGTCTTTTAAGTACAGAATACACCAATTGTCGTTAACGAATCCCTCCCACAAACGACTAGGATCATATTTGAACCCTTTCAACGAGAAATCCAGCCTCACCAGCCTCATCGGCCTCAACCCCTGCTGTCTCAGACAACGGTAACCTTGAAAGAGGGCTGGTGAGAAAGAGCCGACACCAGCATCAACCCAATTGTCGGTAAATAGGATCGAAGTCCGAGCACCGACAAAGTGGCCCCTACGCCTTGAATGCTGGCTTGTCGGTCTTCGGCCAGGTTGCCAAAGTCCAGGAATGGGTTGGGAAGTTGATGCATACATTCCAGCTCTAGAACCGTGCACTTGGGATGGCACATGGCATGGTGGAACTAATCTCTGTCAAAATAGTCCACGGACGTCGCGCACATGGCATCCTCGTTTTCGTGACACGGTCTCTCGCATTGACCAAGACAAGTAAGTTATAGATTAATACCTGCAGCCAGCCACTGCAGATGTCTCAACCGACACGGCATATATTACCATGCTCGCCTCAACGTCAATCTATTCTGTGGAACTTTAGAAGATTCTAAAAAAGCATGACGAGAATGCTGCAGGAAACCGACAAAGCCACCAACTGACGAATGAATCCGAGAATTCCTCAGTACTACCAATTAATCAATTAATTAATTCATACAAACGACGAGACTCGTGGCCCTTTGTCGCGACCACCCGGGCTTACCGGTATGGGATAGTGTCCAACGACGGCGTGGTCACGAACTACATAGCAAAAGCAATAGCTCTTCTCGACTTGCCACGAGAGCGACCAGTTCGTAGCTGGCGTGAGAGTCAATTGATTATAGTCAACGCCTACGACTTTAGGTGTCAAAGTACGGGGTGCGTGCAGAAGGACTACTGCCGTACTTAGCATGACTCGCAGGTGGCGGTTAGTGTATAATAAGTTCTTTTTTTTTCTACTTTCGCCCGCGGTACCCCTAAGGTTGTAGTAGTTGAACTGCACATGACGATGTTGGCGTAAAAGTAATATCCTAGTTGAGCCGCCGAGCCACTTACACAGTGTCCTATCATTTCGATATCCCCATGATACTATCATTAAGCATTGACAGTGTTTGAGAAAAAGCTGTAGCCTAGAACTTTTCCGACACAACGCCGGCAACCGGCCGAAAGGATTCATGTTTGCTAGCTGAGTAGACCGGTGATTCCGTCAAGTCCAGAACCAGGGAGGGTCGTTAATGTTTTTAGCAGGTATCCGCCAATACACATCGTAACTAAAAATATATGATGATTAATAGTGGTAGCATCATTTCGGAAGCACATACCCGTCGGTTTATTGCGCAACTAAGAATATTGGTTAATGAGCCGTACATAATAGAAGCAAATGCTTCATTAGTATCATCACCCTAGCCGGTTCTGTAGTGGTCTCTACGATGGTCCAGACTTACTAGTATGGAAGCGGCACGTATGTTAAAGTCTTATGTCAGTAGTTTCCGATAGAACGTAAGAAAATCTCCGATTACTATGATGCGATCTATCATCCATGTATGATGGTGATCCTCCAGATCTTCCCCAACTACCTGCCAAATTAGGATGCTACGTCCATAGATGTTTAGTGTCAGGAGACATCACACGTAATATTCCGACGTCTTGTCGCGTAGGCCAGTCTCGAAAGTCATACCTAGTCTAAGTCTCTTAGGAGTTCATATGATGGAACAGAAGATCTATGATAGCAAGAAAGTCATTCCGCGTAAAGTACCGATATCAGGCAGTACCGGAGAGTTGAGTGACCCAATTATCGTATATGAAGGTCATGATAATCGAGGAGATAAGTATCGCGATGTCAAGAGTTGAAAGACACCAATTTCCCGTCTTAGTACAGCAAAGATAAAGAATCTGGTCGCGTAATACCACTTAAGTGGTGAAGTAAGATCGAAAGTCTATTGAATGCTAGTCCCCAGCATCTGCTAACGAGTTTGCGAGTAAGAATCTTGTCTGAAGGCGTCACTTGTGCGAAGTGAGAGCCATAAGCTTATTGCTTAGAAAGAGAACCAATTCGTCTGGCTCGCTTATACTCCTCTACACCACGAGACTCGAGAATGCAAACCATTTGTCGGCCGGCGTTTTCGTCGATCTCTTGACCGTTACGAGCTCGCGTAACCGGGAGGTCTTCGTTGAGGCGGTTTGAGATATGCACTACGTGTTTGCTGTCGACATGCATCGTACTGATCCATTCTACCTTGAAAGGCTCCGAGATATTCCACTTGACTCCGTACCACCACATGGGACGGATATCCGCAGAGGGAAGTGACTTCATGAGGGCCTACATTAAAAACATAGAAGTTAGCCAACGTAGAACAATAAAGAGATGTAGATCTAGGAAGTAAGAAATAAAGAAAAGGAGAAGGGAAAGATGAAAAAGTGTTGGACTGGCCACGCTGGAAATACTGACATAACCCTGAAAACCGTGAGACTTGTTAACGGCGAAGAAGAGGACCACGGTCTTGCCGCTGGCGAAGACCTTGCTTAGAATTTCCGCATTGGGGCGCTGGGTAGCCCACAGACCATCATCCTGTTAAATTGTTATTTACTCCGTGTCGTCGATATGCGTATAGGGATATAAGTTACCATCGAGTCGTAGACATGAGACCAACTGTATGATCTCATCACAAAGAAGCAGACCTCTACAGAGCGCAGCAACTGTTAGCAGTCTATTATGAGGAGGAAGCACATATCCTTTAGATATCTGGGGTAAGACTTACCGCCTTTGCCCTTGAGAACGAGTTGTTTAGGATGGCGTAAGTGTATCATCTCGCGGGTCAAATCTCGTTGATCGTCTACTCGCTCCCTGTTTGGACTGTCATAGTTCTCGATTCTCTCAGTAGTGTGTGTAGGACGGCCAGTCGGCCGGACAATATAACGTAGAGGCGATCCACGGGGTGTCAAGGGCCTATCGTAGTCATTATAGTAGACTCGTGAGTAACCGCGAATAGGGTATTTGTCATGTTCATGGTGGTGGAAACGATGGGGTGACACCGAACGGGCATGGGTCGTAGGCACAACAAGGTCCCTGCTATCCCTACCACGATGCACTTCGATACTATTTTTCAAACCTTCAGGTTCAGTATGACGTACCCGCACAAGTGACGAATCTTGAGGGATGTCAGCAAGAACAGAGTCAAGGTCCTTCTTGATAACGCCAGTAGCTAGCTTGGCTTTCCCTATGTCATGTTTCTCCTTTCCAGCACCGGTGTTTCGGTAAGCTGCTAGCTTCTTCGCACGATAGTCGATATCGTGCCAGCCGGTAAGTTTAAGCCAGTCCTGGACGTCCGGTGCAAGCATCGATTCGATGCCGGTGTTTCCGCTATCGCGAAGATCGCGTGCGCGGTTTGGGGAAGTACGAGGGTGCTCAGAATGTTCCATGGTTATTGAGTGCTTTCGTGGGTTGGGGATGATGTAGTAGATATTGTAGAAGAAGAATTCTTGAATATGTCTATCAAGGACCAGGCAATATATCGCTAAGCAGATGGGATGATATACGATATACCTGTTGGTGGTGTGTAGTATGTATGGGTTAAGAGTGAGTGTGTGGTTTGTAGAATTACTGGTCCTTGGTAACCGAATATTTGGGAGGGAGTTGATAAGAAATAAAATAATAGAAGGTACGTTATGAAGAGGAACCTCTGGATTATATATGACTGAGGAGTGACGTTCGGGCAGGAGGCGTAGAGTGCGTTTTCATTATCAGCGCACTTTCCTATACACTCAAAAGATCGTGAGTCCTGCGTTGGTGTGGCGTGGATAGATTGTAGGCAGTTGCCGTTCCTGGATCGCCAGAGAAGAGTGCCTGCCCAATTCGGAGATCTTTGGGGTGAATTAGACGATACTCTATCATAGGTATGTGTAGAAGGAGAAGAGGTCTTTGTCTAGGTAGTCTTGACGGCAAGGTGTCAGTAATGTGGCGATCTAACTAGTCGAGTTGTAAATAGAAGGTGGTGCTTGCCATTGGAGATGCAAACACCTTTAAAATACTACTAGAGGATGATATCGACGTTTATTTTAGTATTAAGGTAGAAGGCGCTTCGCAGCAGCCTCTTGTAGAATATCGTACCTTACCTGTATTCAAAAGGTGAGAGAACGTGCCTGCTACGAAATAATTTTCTTGTCTTGTGATTATATGTTTACACTGTGGTCATAAACTAGACCCCCTGGAGGCTACGGACCGCGATGCTTGATATGAATAACTACCATCTCTTCGGCGGCACTGGTTATAGAGCGGCTGCGATATAATGATGCTATGATTTCTAATTTGTTCTACATGCTATGATAAAGGAGAAACGACGACTATATAGGTTGGAACCTAGAGTTCATCAATAGAGTACGCGGTAACACACATGATGCGCATTAAGCCGGAGGAAGGAATGAGGCAAAGAGGGCTCCCTGAATGGCGGCGTACATGATCATAAATCTCACCACGTTTGTTCCAAATACCGAAGTCTTTTTCTCAGCAACAAGCCCTGCCAGCCACCAATACCAAAGTGGATATCCCGATGAAATCCTCGTGATAATTTGGATATGATAGTTTGTGATGGATAAAGCGGCTAAGATGAACTGGGATAAGGCCATGGAACGGACTAGTATTGTTAGATAAGCGTGGCTAACGGGAATGGACTCCTTAGATGTGATACTCAGAGGCCGTCTGATGAGTTCTAGACTTGATGTTATAAGAATGTAAATCATTGGCGCAGCAAGTAAGAAAAGGGGTATATTTGATGGAGTCCAGTAACGCAGAAAGCCAACGTTCCTAACACTGGTGTTAGCGTCATCGACATAAGAAACGACTCTCTACTAACCAATAACGCGCTTGAACGAAGGAGTAAATACTAGGAAACACGCTCGTGCACCAAGGTCTTAACTTGGTTCCGGAAGGAACGGAGCAGAATATTTGAAATGCAATAAGTTGTGGAATCACAAAGCTAACTGCTATCGCCGACCCTCCCAAGATTAGGGCAAATCGTCGTCGAATACTAGTTAGAGTGGGTGGCATAGTAAGTTCATGGGCCAGTGCAATTGCGAATGGGATCCCGTTGAATAGGCCATTGCTACGAAATGTGGTGGCGAAGCCAAACCACATACCTGAAGCGACCAAGCTTACATCGTGGGCAAAGGTTCGTTTTGGCCCAAGTAAACCCTTCGCAAAGAAGAGATAGCCGGTAAAAGATAGAAAAGCAAAGGTACTCTCGTTGTATGGAGCTGACAAGAAAAGTCCAGCTGGAGACAGGATATGCAGTAGCGCTGCGATAAATGACAGCCGCTGATTTCTTAGGACAACGAGTCCGAGCTGATACAAGGCAAGCACAGAGAGCAGATGGGATGTATGAGCTATCAATATCCCGATAAGCGGCTCGAGGGATTCATGGGCCTGAATTCCTAAGCTAGAAAGTCCTATTGGAACAGATCAGCATATAGAACGGGTGCAATAGACAGTATCACATAAGAAAATATGATGAAAAAAATGGGATTAAGGACCTTGACTAAGATAAGAAATGACAGTTGGAAACCCCATGCCAAATGCCCATTCCTGCTCAAACACATAACCTCGACGAGAGGCTTGTATAAAATAGATAGAATCCCATCTTGTTAGCTTTGTAGCCAAATCAAATGGAGGTTCGCGGGATGAAGTTATCTCAGGGAATAGTAGAGTACTCGAGGTGTCGTAAGCTGGACCGACGCTACTCCCGATAACAATAAGTAGTAGTAATGATTTCCAGGCGATAAATGAACCAACTAGTGATCTAATAGGATTTTTAGAATTGAGAGAGGGCATGATTGAAAAGTAAAGATGGCCACGAGTTGTTGTTTCTACGTACCTCCTTAGGTTAGGTACCTTTGGGTATCTCGTGACCGGCGTCGAATATGTAACAGGGGCTGAAAAAGGTTGGAATTTCCGAGCCACAACGATTTGAGCTTGGCAGCTTGGGTGTGGCTAATAGTATGAGAATCAATTGCGCACGTGTCTTATCTTAGATATCTAATCATGCGATTAGGTAACACTCCGTATATTATACGAATACGAATACTTCTGGAAGGCATGGAAATTATGAAAGAATCATCTGCTGTCGAGACGATTCGATGGTCATTATTAATCTTGGCTTACATAGTAGGCATAAGTCTTTATCCTAAACAAGCAGTGGTCACTCCCAATGTGACCAGCCTCGCATACATAAGGTACATAGCTCGTCTCCCTCGATCGCCCACAATTTAAGGTTAATATGTACCTATGTCCAATGTGTAAAATCTTGGCTTTCGTGGCTTTTGCAGTGGCTGTTCAATGCATATATTGTGGATATTGTGGAAACATGCATGAGGCATAACGGCTTGAAGCGCATGCATCTGATATTTCTGCATATTTCCATATTTCTAACTTGGTACCGCCTATTGCAAAAGCGAAAACGAAAGCGAACGTAATTCTAAGATGGGATAAACCTGGGGCGTAGCCACGTTATCATAAGTGATGATGAGTGGTCGATCCTTGATGTCAACTATATTGTAAATTCTAGGTACGCTCAGACGGGAATCACGGCATGTCGTCATTGTCTTAGGTTTGAGCACTGTAAGAGCACACTAACCTACATCTTGACCCGAACGGGTTTTGTGCTTCGCGGGTTTGTGGCACTTGAAGTTCGGCCTCGGCAAACTAGAAGTAGCCTCTTTCTTAGTTCCCGGGAAGCGTTGAAAATCTTTGTTGACAACTATCCGAACAAGCCGCTTGTGAGTATGTACATATTGTCGTGGAATAATAACATGTACCTATGTAGTCGAACCTCGGTGCGGACGGAGAATATGAGGATAAACGATGACCGAATTCGTACCTCGTTGCCGAGTCTAGGGACTCTATGATACTCGATAGAGACCATTATGGAGACGAACTGCTAACTTGAGCTACTCAAGGCACATGGCTCTATGATCATCAGACCTTGTATTATGTTATATTCTCACCGACATATGAATAGGATTCCTTCATGAAGCCCTGATTGGATACACGTGCGGAAGGGCTACAGGCTAACTAACGAGGTGGATGGGCTGATGGGACAACATATCTTGCATCTTGCAGCTCTGGTCTCGACCTTTTTTGCTTTATTGTCTTAGCGGGTTTAAGGAGGATAGTATCGAAGTCACCGCTCCGCTGTTGTAGGTAGGTAGTAAAGCCTGCGTCTTTAGGTACGTCTTTAGGTACCCGAGGTAGTTATTTTGAGATTCTTTATTCTTTAGGCAGACGAATAAATATTGTCGATCTTTAACCTTTTGAAGTGACGTCGTCGGAAATTTGCTACCTTTTATGGATTTTGGATACGCTAAGTTCGTCATGAGTTGAAATCGTAAAATCATCAAATGATGAAGACATCGTCAACAGAGCAATTACCCAAGTTGGCGATTACTTACAGAAAGACATCGTTACATACATACAGGAACGGAAGATGGTGTACCTACATGTGGGAATGTTATCGGTGTGATCGGCCCCTAGCAGACCGGTTATACAATGCCGAGCACATGCATCGAACCAATAGGAATCCGTGGTCAGACTAGAAACCGCACCAACTAAAGGGAGAAGAATATGGAAGCCTAGAACGCCGAAAACCGCGCGGTGGGTTTTCTGCCCTATGGGGCGGCCTAACAAGCCTCCAATACAGCTGCCCAGACTGCTACATACCTGTAGACCTGGTAGTAAGGTTGGAACCTTAAGAACTAAGGAGGTGTACACACTGCTACTCTGCTGTAATAGCTGTAATAAGAGCCATCTGCATAACTAACTGCCGGCCAACCAGGTTCCGATGACACTATCTGATCTTTCCGCCCCTGTCGATTTTTTGTATACCGATTTTTCGTAATCGCATCATTGTGGGACATACAGACATGGAACATTAAGAAGTGCATTCTTCCATTCCAACCACAAATTATGGTTTACTTGCCGCAATAACAATAATAATGAACTGCAACATCCAGTACTACCCAGCCTACCATTTTTATTTCCCACCGCCCTTGTTATACCTTGCGATCCCTTACGATCTTATCTTTTAAACGTATCATGTATCGTGTATTTCTTTTTTTAATTTAAACTTGGCAAGCTTACATACGCAATCCCGACGATCCTCTTTTTTCTTTCTTTGCTGACGAAATTGTAAATCTGTTTATGCAAAGGAAAAGATAAAAAAAAAATAAACGTCAAAGCTAATGAGTCGTTACACGTATGTATTTCATGTATGTGTGTGCATACATACCGTAACTTGCATTTCGTAGCTTGGATACCAAAGCTACCTAAAGCAACTAAAATCCAGCCTCGGCTTGAATCTAATAAGACTGATTCTTATTTTCTGGTGGGACCTTTTTTTCAGACGACAGCGGGTCTTAGCGAGAAAGCTCGGCCTGTTATCCGAACCCGAGCTGAAGCTGAAGCAGTGGAATCAGTGAAAAGCAGTGGGACTTTACCAAGTCGACGGGGCACGCACATGGTCAAACAACGATCAAGATCCGCCGCCGCTCCCGTACACATATATATGTCCTTACACATATATGCTTAATATATGTATGTTATGTATGGGTGTATATTTGGGAATATATACACATATCCTTGGCTTGTCTTTACCCCTCGAAACCACCCCTACCCTGTTCTACCTCCTCTACCGCCCCCTTAACCACTGCATTGAAGTAACCCCCCAATCCTTGGCCGATACGCGTTCAGCCTGTCAGGCCACGACTCAGCTCTCCACTTGATCTACCTTACGTCTCCCCCAATAACCTTTTACTGCGTTAACTACTTATGTACCTAACGCCTTAATACTGCTTCGACGTTGTATGCGATCATCTCCTACTTTACGGCTCCGGTTCCCTCTTAAAACTCAGCCTCCGCGAATATACGACTATTATTCCATATTCCTTGAGCCTCTTTTCTTCCCCTTCCCCTTCCCCGCCTTATTCCTAAAAGGTCAACCTGGAATCTGTGGGAGCCGTAGAATTGTATACCATAAGACACAGTATGATCGGTCTTGTGGTAGCGTAGGACTTGGTTGCTTGTTCATTGAGACTTACCCGGCGACTACCTAGATATTCAACTTGAGCCTGTCGTAAAAAGCTTCCTCCCCACTCAAAGCCGCGGAAAGTGGAAGCTTGGATGGAATTTCTCTCATAATGTTCCTGCATTCGGGAGCGAGCCTGCATGGCCATGAGTATTCAAATCGGCCGAACCCTCAGCCTGGTCATCGACGCAATCCTCTTCTGCGATCTGCTTTTGCAGCACCTATAAAACGATCTTCCTCATATCACCCTAGTACTTCACCCTCACTTAATGAACCTACTTCACCTGATTTACGACGACCTCGTCCTCTCTCGGAATATATACCTAGGACCCCCGACGCTACTGTGAGATTTCAAGAGCCCCGATGCGACTCGACGACGGCCAAGCCAGAAGTAATGAGCGAGGATGAAGGCTCAATTGCATCCGATAGTGACGCGAGCCGCGTGTCGTCTTCGGCTCGTCGCAACCGGAGGGGAGCCATGCGGAAAAGCACTACCTTTCTCCTTGCGCACCCGCCTCCAAGGCTGGGCAGCAAGCAGCTTCTAATACATATACGACCCAAGCTATTGCTTCAGATGCAGCAATTAGCAGCTAACAAGCGCCCAAGGCCAGCTATTGACGTATTTCCATCCTTTGCGATAGCTGGGCCTTTGATCGTACCCTTGCTGAAGCGCTTTCCTCTCATCGCCCGCATCAAGCGAGAGTTAGGTATCCGGGATATCATGCTGGTCAAGAGTGAAGACTATGATGCGCAAGCTTCTGGGTTAGAAAGCGATGGCGATGACGATAACCTAAAGTCCCGCGAGCTGTTAGCGATATTAAGTCCAATTTTGACGGAAGACAAAGCCGAAATTGTGCTAGCCGACGGGACAGTCTGGACCGCAACGCCACGGTTCAACGGTGCTGGTTCCTGTTCCTATGAGTTCGTCACTGTTGATTCGAATGGAAACACCACAACAGCCAGATGGGTTCGCAAGCAGATGGCAACTAAATCCTTACCAGTCACGCCGACCTCGCCGGGTTCCACGCCTGTGATACCTGTGCCCGACTGCAAATTCACCTTTAGCATAATCGATCCTAACTGCCGACGCCATCCTATCATGGCCACCCTAACAAATTCTTCACTCGATATACTAGACTCCTACACAACTGTCTCGCAGTCTGCTAACCGTTATCCCCCGACTTCTCCTGTGTTATCAACACCTACTTCTCCCGCCAACGGAGAAAACGCTTCTGAGCGAACGACTCAGCGAGTCGAAGATTGGCAGAAAACATTCATTACCATCTCAGCCATATGGGTAATACTTCGTCACGGGTGGTCCCCTAATTGGAAGCCGGCAGATTTTGGTACCCTATCCCCGACTTCCCCCACCACACCGGTAGGCGCAAACGCATCAGCACGCAGCCGGTCCGTGAGTGTAAATTTGGAGATGGCCTCAAAGCCTAGTGCTCTTAGCTCTGGTAGCCGACGGAAACTCCCAGGTGCCCTGCGGATGGGCGATCAGCTTACACCGAACGTCTTGCCTAGGAGAGCGACATCCACTGGGGCTGGCTTCATACAGAAGTCGGACGCCACGGAGATAGAAACACGCGACCGAGCCAGAAGTAGCCCTAAGCAAGAATCGAAGAATAAGCGAGGGTTCAAAGGCGATTGGGAAGTAAGCCTCCCGGATCGGAGCCAAGCGAGTTCGTTAGTAGCCGTATTGGATTCGCCATCTACGCTCACTCCAATTGACCTTGCTTCACAAAGCAATTCTACATCGTCAGCATCATCTTCGTTGTCTACGAGGCATCGGGTTATTTCGGCATCTTATTCAGCCAACCCCCTAACCCTCAAACCCATTGAAATCGAATTTAGCGAAACCCCCAGCATTCGGTGCAAATCATCAGTTCGGAATATAGTGCGAGTAGCCGACAGAGAAGACCAAGACCGAAAAGCAAAGCACCAGAAATGGAAGAACATGTCACACTGGTTTCGAAAGCTGCATGGGCGGTAGGGCTGCCAGCCATGTTATTAACCAGCATCAAAAATAGGAGACAGAGTCACATCAGTTTTGTGAACGAGGAAGAAAACTTGTATCATATCATACACTCGCATAAGCCGGAGTTGGGAAGAAAAGGGGCGTCTGCGGTATGGATTAAATAGGAAACCTGCATCATTGGTTACGGTATTTCTCGGAAAGGATTGGATCTAGCCGAGAACTGGAATTTTGGGAAGCTCTAGGGACTGGATCAAGAGACTTACCTGCACGGCGTTTGGATAGGGGGACGGTTTTGGCCCATTATGATCACGTGTATCCAATAGAGGAGAGAAGGGAGCTGCTTGAGTTATGCAGCATCCAACGGAGTGGTCAACTCCCGTAGCAACAAGCAGTTACAAAGAAATTAGGTATCTATTATGTTGACTAACATAGGTTTATTACTAGATTCATGTGACTCTTGTGCGTTCCCTACCTATTAAATCCCAATACTTCCTATGTATGGTATAAGTTTTAAGTACCATAAAACCCTATAGGGTAGGTGGATGTAGACGAGATGATGGTATGTAGTAAGGAGTATAATCGTATTCTTTATTAGCTTGATCAGTGTATGTTCATCTATAGGACCTAGCCTCCGTTATATCCTTATAATACCTTGTACATATGGGAGTTCTGATTCTGATTCTTATTAACCAACACTTTCGGTATACTGTTGGTTGCTCATCTCCAAGGTGTACACCCGGCTACCTATTTAGTCGAAGTCTGGCGGGATTGTTTCTTACATCAGATAACCATCTATTTTCGACTAAAACCTTTACCTGGGTGCCTTTCAGTACTGCTACTTGGAAAACTACTCGCCCATTATAAAAGAAAACGGAGCATAATGCTCTTCGAGTTTAGTCGAACTCTACAGAATTATAGAGTGCTGCACTCACACGCTAAGAAGTTGACTATGCGCTAATGACATTTGATTTTAATATATTAGGGGCCTCCTGCAGCATTTAGGAAGATATGTATTAGCATATTCATCTACAAATCTGTGTAACGTGTTGCGATCGCGACCCTATACGAAGACCGCTCCGCGTCCTCAACCCCCGCCCCAATATCATTGACCGGTGAGTCAAGCCGGCGAGCGACGATGGAATGAGAAGAGGATTTACGGCCCGAGGAGCAGATGCGACAGTAACCGATGCCGGTCTCATCTACAGAAATGTCGGAGTTGAGCCGCAGGCGGAGATTCCTTTTTCGGGGCATATCCACCCCACGACGGAACCTCGTAATCATCAACCCCCCCAATCCCCAATGCGAGATGTGGAGTATCCGATATTCTACCGACGCGGTTCTGGGGTCCCCGACCTGGTTTCTGCTCTACACGATGGCCAAGAAAGAAAGTGGCGAACCTACCGCGGGCGGTCTGTTTGCTTATGGGTCCCAGTCCGCTGGAGACCGGGTCGTTGACCGAAGCTTCCCCGTTGGCATGTACATAAGAGACAAGGACAACGTGGTCTTATTGAATTTCTAGGTTGGGATTCTATGCTTCTCGTTCTTTAGTTTTCGTCTGTTTGAGAAATCGCAAGATCGTGGTACCTCGTAGCTTTCGAAGACAAAGAAAACGAGCAAGTCATCTTGCCGTCATGGCGACGCATGTGCAAAATGGAAGTTCTTCGACCTCAGTCCTGGAGGTAGAGCTAGAGCCAGTCTATTTATCAACTCCGTTGTCGAAACAAGATGGTGTCGACGTACCAGTCCGGGGATCGAGTCGTCAGACGAGTAGCAATTACGGCGATACTACTCCAAGGCAGGATACGAGTTCGCTTCCACCTCCGAGCACGACTACGGACGTTGTGCAAAGATGGAACTACCCGCGCAAGAACATCCCACGGGTTGCTTCGTGCTTTTGGTCGTTCGTCGTCATGGGCGCTAATGACGCCGCTTACGGTGTGAGTTATTGTATTGGAATCCATATTAGATATAAACAAGTTTGCTGACAAGAACCCACTGGATAGCCTCTCATTCCATATGTAAGGCAGCTCTTTGGATTATACGGAGCCACGATCTGAATAAAACGCATGATTGACACCGAGCGTAGATTCAAGCACACTATGATCTTACGTATCTGATTGTATCGCTTATTTTCCTGTCACCTTTCGTGGGATATACGGTAGCAGCCTTCCTGAACAATATCATCCACCTTAAGGCAGGTCAAAGGGGTGTTGCCTTCATCTCCTCGGGTTGCCATCTCTTGGCCTACATAATCATTGCTGTCCATCCGCCTTACCCAGTCTTAGTGATCACGTTTATTATCGCGGGCTTCGGAAACGGCATCGCGGACGCTGCTTGGAATGCGTGGATCGGTAACATGGCTCGCGCGAATGAGATGCTCGGCTTTCTGCATGGCCTCTATGGGGTCGGTGCTGTTCTTAGCCCGCTAATTGCCACGACTATGATCACCAAGGGTAACTTGCCGTGGTACGCTTTCTACTATCTTATGGTGAGTTGGTCGATGCTAAAGGGGAAGACATAGAGCTGACTGGATTAGATCGGAATGGCTGGGCTTGAGGTAGTTGTTTCAGTCAGCTGCTTCTGGAAAGCAACAGGGCGCGAGTACAGGGAATCCCTAACGAAGCATTCCGAATCGTCCCAGGGTAGTCTTAAGGAAGCCCTTTTTAAGAAGCCTGCGGCTCGTGTCACTTGGCTTTGCTCCCTGTTCTTACTTGGTTACGTCGGTCTTGAGGTCTCTCTGGGAGGCTGGATCGTCGAGTTTATGATTCAAGTACGAAACGGCGAGCCCTTCGCTAGCGGTATGACGGCCACCGGATTCTGGCTCGGCTTGACGATCGGACGTGTGGTCTTAGGGTTCATAACACCGAGATTAGGAGAGAAGCGCGCAATCATGATATACCTTCCTATAACGATGGGTCTCGAACTCCTTTTCTGGCTTGTGCCCCAGTTCTACGTTTCTGCCGTAGCTGTAGGACTTCAGGGCTTTTTCATCGGGCCTCTGTTCCCTGCTGCGATCGTCGCCGTGTCCAAGCTACTCCCTCGACATCTACACGTCGGTGCTATCGGATTTGCTGCGGCGTTCGGTGGCAGTGGCGCAGCTATCCTACCGTTTGCAGTCGGAGCGATTGCACAGGCAAGGGGCGTAGAGGTGCTGCAGCCTATTATTCTCGCCTTTCTTGCTGCCATCTTCCTTTTATGGATCGGGCTGCCGGCGATGAATAAGAAGAAAGAGTGAATATCCAATGGTTAAGGACCTTAGTAGTTAGGTAGACGGTTAGTTAAGAATGATTAGACGCTATGGGTTCGAATAGGCTACCAATATATGAGTATATTTAGTTTCCGAATTGGTTGAAATCTATTTAGACAAGTCTCTTTCTCCAACCTACAACTCTTTGAATAAGAACTGTGTACATACCTACATATGAGGTAGGCAAGATCCGATGACGTTTCGGTCAGCTCTAGGTAACTCGAATATTACAGTAGTCACATTCTTATAGGTTCGTCTGAATTCTACTCTCTGCTCTTACTTTTTGCCTTCTTCCAGACAATGATATATTATATATATGTGTATGCCGCCACGCCGATGCGCCCCCGAATCAACGTCTTCTGGTATCCGCTGTTATCACGTCATGGCCATGCGTCGGGCTATTTGGCTTGCTTCTGGCCTAGGACAACTTACCTTGTGTAAGCCGATATTAGGCTGCAGGACTACAATATCGTGGTTGTGAAACAGAAGCCAGAAGCATCGGTAAGGGGGATACGATTAATGATAGGATCCCTACGAACGTCAACCTATGAGCTAAGAGAAAGAAGATATCATGTGACTGTGTTGATCTGCTGTCAGCAAGAGCTTATACGAAAAAGCAATGTACTTATCCTCTGTGCCGCAAGTCGTGTAAATCGGATAAGCCAGGAGGACGCAGGTAACCGGGCGGGAGGGATATAATGTTTTCTCTTCCTATTAGTTCGACGGAATAGAAAAGCAAGAGAATTTTGTGGCTATTTAATTTTATTTAATTGAAGATGCTCCCAAGAAATGTGGCGAGTCGTGACGGTTAGGCAATTCGACCCGTCCGATATACGGGAGTTCAGTCCGTCAAATCGGGTGCGATCCAAAGACTTGACCGGATTATCCACTGTGATTAGGTGCATGATGTAGTACAGAAGCCTACGATACATCCTAACATGCATCCTAACATGCCTTGGGTACTGGCTGACGAGCAAGCTGAGCCTATGAAAGTGACCCCTTTGTAAGCCAACAACATCTTGTTAGTACTCATGAAATGAAGCTGTTAAATGATATGTGATAAGTATGAATGCGTTCCTATGATTGCATTGCTGTAACTTTCCACACAGGAATACATTTGTGTTATGCTATACTTGTGGCGAGTAGTAGTTGTTGAGCTGTTGCAAGTTGGTGTTACTGAGCGTTATTCTGTTGTCGATAAGGCTCACGATCTGGTATTTGCATGCACTAGATTGGGCTCAAGAATAAGATCGTAACGAACAAATAAGGGAGGGAAAAGGGGAAAAAAAAAAAGAAGAAGAAAAGTAGAAAGAAATAGAAATTACATTATTTAATAACAACGCATTTGAGATATTATTATATAAATATTGGAAAGAAATATTGAAGATTTGCGCTCGGAATTATTGTATTGATTGTTTTCAGTCAAAGTCGCTGCAAGGAGTTTGTGTATTGGGAAGAATTGATAATCAGTTTACAGGTACAGTTTACAGGTACCACCTTAGGCTGCTATAGAGACTTGTCATGCGCTCGCGAGTGCGTGAGTAACTACCTCTTACCTAAGGTAATCATCGCAATTGCCTAATTACGTACTCGTCCTTCTGCCTCTAGCTTTGCTCTGTGTGCCTACTGGCACTGGTGAGAACAAAAAGCAGGCGCAGTAACTGGCCTACCGACCTAAATTGACAATTGACTTTCCTACTAAATTCCCCACTTCGACATCAACTACCTACACTAGTATTCAACCAGCGTCGATTTACATCTTCCCCTTCTCTTTCTGACTTGTCCCACCTCCATCTACTACTGCTTTACTACCCCCCCAACATCATTATCAACGGCGTCAGTTTCTCTTTACTGCCCGTACGATAATTTGTAAATTTTGAAGTCTTTTCACCCGGTGCGATCCCGTGCTGGTAACGAGGCTCGGAGGGGAAAGTGAAAAAGCCGTTAGGACCCCAACTTATTCTACCCAAAGGTTTGGTGCGGTGGTGCGGTGCATTGGGCAGATCATTCACCTTTTAGAGCTTTCTAAACTGCAGAGAAGCTAGCTACGCAAGCTCCGGGAGCTGCGACATGTCAGCGTGCGTCCTGGTTTGGCTGCAGCACGAGATCAACGCCACCATCGATTTCCACAAAGAAACTCTGTCAACTATCATCTTCGTTACCAGGGTGTAAAGAAAAAAAGAAGAAGAGAGAGATAGAGACTCGCCCTCGAGACTAACTAAATAAAACAAAGGTTGTGTTACATATCCTTAATCCAACAATAGTTCGATTCGCTATTACAATTTTATAAGCGGAGCTTCAGATACGATATAATACGATATACAGCATCTTTCACCCCCGCCATGGATGAAGCGCTCGACCCTGCGACTGCAGCTGCTGCATTTTCTGCTGCTTCGCAGTTCCTCAATACTTATGCTGTAGGCGATACCATCTCTCGCGCAACCTCGCCTGGCTTGCCACCCTCTAAATTACTCGATACCGACGATACCAAGCGCTATCGACCGCGCACCTTTGCATACTTCCAACTACTACCCTACCCAGTCGAAGACGATGCCGCCCGCGATGCCGCCTTGCAGGGAATATTGAAGCAGCTCTATATAGCCGTCAAGGCTGAGGATTTCTCCCCTGGTGCTCTTCACTGGACGCGGCAGCTTCAGGGATGGCTGGCGCTCAAGTTCGACATGCCTCGGGAGTTGCGCGCCAAGCTCGTACAGTTGTACTTCCATCTGTCGCTTGCGCCCGGTCTAGATAATAATTCGGCTGATCGGTTTTCTAAGATGGTTGTAACGCTTATCAGGAGGAAGCAAGCTCTTAAGCCCGAACAAGACCTTATCCTCGACTGGAGACCCCTTTGGACAGAGTTGAAGGCGTTAGTATTACCTGGCGAGGCTGCTGCGCACCACTCTTCCAGAAGGCGGGGTGGTAAGCACCTTAGGAAATTGTGCCTCTATTCGCAGTTATACTTCGACCCCAAAGAACGGCGCGCTATCCTGGAGGAGGTACTACCTTACTTCAGTACTTCGGACATACAGAATGCCTACATCGTTATTGGTCTTTTGAATATTCTAATGCCCACGACCCCGGCTCCTCCTACCGAGCTGCAATCTCAGCCATCCGATTTCATACCTACTTTCTTCCATCTTTGGTCGCTAATGACCCGCTCCAAGGTAGTAGACAATGCCTTCATCGATATATTCTCCAGGGTTGCTAGAGACTATCTGACATGTCGGCATGTACCCTTTGGCGAGCATGGTGTCTTCACACGGGAGCAGTCTGATCTCATATTTACTGCTATTCTTCGTTTGACCGAGATTCCTGTTGGTCAAGCGAATTCACCATACACTTCGCTTGACTACTCGGTTGGAATGGGCATCTTCCTCGAGAAAGACAAGAAGAAACATCCAATACCCTATATTGTCGCCCGCTGGGTTATATCCTCTTTATCGCCTCATTGTCTTGACAAGGATAATTCGATATTGAATAGCCTCGAAGGCTTCATGGAGTCTATCGATACTTTCTTCCACCCATCGAATCACGGTTCCTGGTCTAAGATGCTTGCTCAGCTGACCTATTACCTCAGCGAGTTGTTTGTGTCTCGTTGGAACAGGGAACAAAGTGAAGAGCAGGACACGCCTGCCGAACGAAAGATCAACGATGCTCTGAAGCACCGATTTGTCTTGAGTTTGCGAGAAGTCACTTTTATGGGACTCTTTGGTAAAAGTTCAGCTATCACAAGCTTGTACTTTAACGCTCTGCAAAATCTTACGTACCTAGAGCCTGATCTGATGCTGCCCGGCGCGCTCCAGAGGTTTTACCCGAGTTTGCAGGGCCTGGTTGAAGTTCACCGGACTACCTCTAGTCTCTGTGGCCTGAACATGATTGCCAATATCATGTCGAGTCAGAAAGGCTTCAGATGCCACATCACTGCTCTATTAGCATTAGCTCTACCCGGTATTGATGCTAATGATCTTAACAAAACACAGTATACCCTAAACTTCATACAAAGCGTTTCGTACAGTATCCCGTTCGTGACTTTGGTAAAAGAGAATAGCCAGGTTCATGATACTAGCCTTGCTATGCAATGGGTCCAGGGGGAAATGGAGCGGATGGAACGCGAGGGCCAAGATGTTAAGATCGACTATAAGAACGAGTTGACCGACGAAGACGAAGCGGACATCGTGCGCTCCTCAACCGCGGGTTTCGGTGAATTCATCTTGACGCTGCTAGGAAAAGTCTTCACGTTACTGGAGAATTTACCAGACTCGGCGCAGGTACGCTCTGGATCCCCTGAAGACAATATCATCAACACCCTACCGGCTGCCTTGACCCCAATGTTTGCTTCCCTATCACCTGAGCTCTTCGACATGGCTTTAGAGAAGCTCTCTACCTTTGTATCGAGTCATGTAGTTCACCAAGCTCGCGATGCTATGGCTTGGATCTGCAACGCGCTTTGCAAAGTGAACCCCGAAAAGACACTAAAGGTATTCGTTCCTATGTTGATTGTTAATATACGGAACGAAATTGACTTCAACGGTGCTGCATCCGATCGGAGCAGCGGCACCGAAGTCCTTCCTCGGGATAGGGCTCTCGTGTGGCACGTGAGTATTTTGAGCATGTGTGTTGTTCATGTGGGAAGCGAGGTGCTCAAGTATAAAAAAGATCTTTTCGAGATTGCAGAGTACATGCAAGAAAAGTGCAGAGGCCTCCCCACTATTCACATCAGCAATTATATACACCATTTACTACTTAACCTCACGCACACGTACCCCATAGATACTTCGCTTTACGAGCCTGATGTTATAGAGCGCGGCCTAGACGTCGATGATTGGGGCAAGACAACATCACCGGCGGACTTAACAATCCGGTGGCATCGACCTCTTGAGGAGGAGATTCAGTTTGCGGTTGAACTGTTCGAATCCCAAGCTGGAGGGGCCATGCAACGACTTGAGTCGTTTATGAGTGACAACCCCCCCGTTAGTCGGAAAGGAAAGAACAAAGAATGGTCGGACGAGGTTTCTCGCCAATTAACTCAGTTGCGATTGGTCATCTCAGGCCTTGCGGCCCTATTTGATCCGAAACGAGCATCTGGGGAGGCTAATGGACACCTTAATGGTAATGGGAAATCTGAAGAGCAAGAGGACGAAATTATGGCTGATGGTGGCGACGATGATGATGACGATGACAATAACCCAT